CTTCGAGAGCTAACTATGGCCATCGAGGACTACGAAGCGTCCCGTGGCTGTTTTTAGCATGATAACAAGTAAAGCATTCGAGGAAACGTTCGTTTATTTGAATGTCCGTCGAGCCATAATCAATTTACTCTGAGCAGCTAATCGGATAATACGGATCTAGCTTCAGTATCTACACACATAGACAGTGAGGTCCCTCTTGGCCAATCGGAGGCCAGGATGATGCTCGGTAAGCCAATAGCAGAGCAGCTATGAGTATGTTGAGTCCAGGAAACTCGCAGCTCTGACCGAAATAAACATCGTTCACTATGTAAACCAGTGCAGTGGTTGCTGTTGCCGTTTTTCGAACGAAGCAGTCGAGGTCGCTGTTGGATAAGACTTCGGTGTAGTGAGTGTCTTCGCGAGGCTGGAGCAGAGAAAATGATTTCGTATAACGCAACAGGGGGGTTTTCGTCGTATGGGATGCAGGAGAATGGGAATTGTGTTAATGCATGAAGATTTTTTCACATAAGGGGGTATTTTCGCCCATGTAGGTTTCGTTCTAGAGGAGTTTCACTGTATATAGTGTCGGTTGAAATAATAAAATTTTATAGGTGGTAGAACGTTTCCTTTTTTATTCCCTTGGGTGCCGTATAAAGCTCTTACACCGTAAGAGCTAGAAAATAAAACAAACATGATACTATTAGTCGAGCTTATCTCACACATGTAAAGATTAGTCAAACACAGTTAAACATATATAATCATAAACATAAATCTACATGCAGATGAACTGAAATATGTACCTTGTTGCCACTTTCAACCGGGCTAGATCTTTAAACTTTTGTCTTCTGGCGAATCCGTTTAACTCCCTTTGAATGGGCTCGATCTCCACTGGTCTCGCCTGTCAAAATCATCAATATTTTATGTGTTTATTGTGCAGTTTTTTTTTTGTTTTTTTTAAAGCTGACTAGAGCCCCCTGGGAAATTTTTAAATAAGCAGTGCCAGTTGTATATTTCACCCAGCTCTATGTAAATTTGGTGCGTCTCTTGTACCCATATCCTAAACCTAAGGGGAAGTTCGCCTCTGACATTTACTTTACAATTTGGCGTCGCCTTGACTACAAAGCTGCTGTTACTTGACCCAGATGATCATATGATTTTATCCATGTCCATGACCTCTTTTGGCGATCGTCTGATTTTGGCGCCATGTGTGGCAGGTCTTACTGTTCCTGAAAAAAAATAACCGCACAAGCAGCAAAGGTAAACACAACTCAGCTCAGGTTAACTCAACTCAACTCCAATCATAGCGCATTTTAAAACCACCACCGCACACACGAAGTGCTGTACATGGAGCAAAAAATATTCGGGCAACAACAGACAGTTTTAAGAATCAATGTAAAAAGCATGAAACTCGAAAACAAAACAAAATCTCATGCTCAGTCAAATAGCCAAAGAATAAAAATGAGTTTGGGGATGAGGACATATTGCTATCACAAAAAAATCACTTTATTGTTCACACAATGCGATGAGTCAAACTTTGGAGCAGTAATAAGATTTGTGCGGTTCCCTTGGGTTATTGTTGGGTCCTTAATATTTTTTTTTGTTCTCCGTATGGCCCACAGGATGAACAAGTGACAGAAATATGTGAATAACTTCATAATCAGTACAGATGACTGATCTTTAAATACTTGAAAACATATTTTCCAAATATTGACGTCAATTTCCAACTGCAGTAGTTAAATGCAGTGAATATTCAGCTCGCTACAGCCGACTTCATGTACCGTATTTTCACGACCATTCGGCGCACCATATTGGTGGGCGCAGTCTCAGTAATGGGTGCTATTTCTGTGTTTGACACATACACAAAACGCACTGTATTATTGGGCGCAGCCAGGCATGGTAAACATACGCCAGCTTAAACATACGGCATGCATGCACGCACGCTAAAAACGCGTTTGCTTGAAGCATACGGTGGCATGCATGCACGCTAAAACATACCAGGTATGTTAGCTTAAAGCATACGGTAGCAGCTAAGACATACGGACACACGCTAAAAACACGTTTTTAAAAAGGCAACGGAAGCAAAACTGAGTTTGGTGGAACTTTATTTAGCCATTTTACAATGTACTCACGCGACTGGTACCTGCTAGGGGCGTGTCTTTAGCGTCCTCTTACACGCCTACCCTTCACTCATTGGCGACTGGTACCTGCTAGGGGCGTGCCTTTAGCGTCCTCTTACACGGCCACCCTTCACTCATTGGTGACTGGTACCTGCTAGGGACGTGCCTTTAGCGTCCTCTTACACACCCACCCTTCACTCATTGGCGGACTTCCGCATTCCTGTCGTCACTCACGTCCGCCTTTTCTCTTTATAAACAGCGTGTCGGCCAGACGTGCTCTCAGTCAGGCTTTGGAGATCGGCGCATACACTAGACGCTCCGCATTATGAGGCGTCCTGTCCATTTTGGAGAAAATTTAAGACTTTTAATGGCGCCTTATCGTCGTGAAAATACGGTATGTAAAATCGGCTTCTGAAATCGCAGATTCAACCCTAAGGCTGGAAAGTGGAGCTCAGGAATGAGATGCTAAAGATACCCCTCTGTGAGCTCAGTTCAATAAACTGATTCTATGAGCCTGCGCACCAAGGGTCATATTCACGTGTGCCTACGTCTGTAATTTACTCTTGCCAGATACATACTCTTGGTGGAACAACACTACAATGGGGGTGTTACCTGTCAAATCCGGTCATCTGAGCTTTTCTCTGCTGACTTGAAAACATTAGCTTTATTTTTTCATGTCATTGTGACCAATACAGATAGATTGCACATGAAACAACTTGGAATTGACCTGACTTTTTTTTTCAAAGCTTTTATTTATTAGCAGACCCTCGTAAAATATGTGTTGAAAAAAAAAAGAAATGCATTTTTTGGGAGTAAAAGCATGAACGTATTTAAAAACAACAACACCAACAACAACAATGTTCTAGATTACCCGTGTCAAACGCAAGGCCCTGGGGCCAGATCCGGCCCGTCAGGTCATTTTGTGAGGCCCGCGAAAGCAAATCATGTGTCAACTTGCAAAAATCTGTACCGAAATGTCAAATTGTCCTGTGTAATAAATAAGGTTGAGACTTTGCATTCATTTTGTTACCCCGTTTACCCTCACTAGAACAATAATTGCACAAACTCTTTTAATCACCTTGACTGATTTCAAAACTAGTAATCTATTAATTTGTTGTGTAAAAGTAATAATTTTGTGGTTTCACTGTCATAACTGCCCTCCGACGGAAGACGTAACTCCAAATTGGCCCGCGACTAAAATGAGTATGACACCCATGCTCTGGATAGAAATATTTGAATTGGCACACATACATGTAGGACGCAGATCAGTTGTTGTGTGTCTAGCTCAAAGTATTGAACTTTCAAGATTCTCCCGCAAAGTGTACGTTAACAGTGACGCTTTGAGAAACATTACTCCTAAAACTCTAAACTGTTAACCTAATTAGCAAATTAACTCACCGAACTCAGACTATGAAAACATGATGGCCTTCCTGAATGTCATAGCAATGTGTATCTTTATATTTTATAAATGTTTTTTTCTTTTCTCAAAACAGGTCTTACCACTTGAGAGAGGGAGCTTGACAGAACAACTTCAGCTCAGCCCTGCGTCCTCATCAGGTGACTTGTGCTATGGCTGGTTGAAAATCCCACCGCGCTGCATGTTGGAACATCCAGATGCTGAGCGAACCCTCAACCACCTTATCTCTGGCTTCAAGAATTTCGAAAAGAAGATCAAGTACACATTTCACAACAAGGCTTACCTACTGCAAGCTTTCACCCATGCTTCCTATCATTACAACACAATCACAGGTGAGACTGCTGCCGAATATCTTTTTAGGGCCCGAGCAGCGAGCGCTGTGAGGTCCTTATTGTTTTTGTAGAAAATATTATTATGAGGGCCTGAGAAGCGACTTCCCTTTAGCTGCTTGCAGCTCTAGTTTATTAGTTTACTTTGCGGTTTTTACAAAATGGCTCAGTTGCACACCCTAGAAAGTTTTAACAAACCAGCCTCAGTAGTATGTAGGTGAAGGCATATGTAAGACCTAATGACCTACAAAACACTTCTTGCAGCCTTATGCTAAATTAACAGGAAGAACACCATCTTGGGGGGGTTGTTTGTATCTTGAGCTTTCATTCATGTTCGGCCCGTTCCGACTGTTGCTCATCGTGGTGTGCATGCATATGTGAGCGAGTGCACTGGTGGGCACCCGAGTGAGTGAGTGAGTGCGCGCGTGCGTGCGTGCGTGCGCGTGTGTGTGTGTGTGTGTGTGTGTGTGTGTATGCTTTCACGTGCGCAATTGGGTCGTTCGTGAGAAGTTGGTCGCTTCAAAAGTCGATCGTTGGCCAAAAAAGTGTGTGTGCGTGCGTGCGTGAGGAAGGGTTTGATGTGGCTCTTTGCAGTAACACAGTAAAAGAAAATTGGCTCATCGTCTCTGACTGGTTGGCCACCCCTGGTCTCGGCATAAGCATATAAATGTACCTGCTTGCTGGTGCGGTATTCTGCGATTTACATATAATCTCATTCATGTGCTCAGCGTAACTACTGTTAGTGATTACTCGACGAGCAAATTCATTGTTTGTGGCAGCCCTCGGTGGCAGTGCCTCTGGAATGACAGACCGGGGTCTGGTGGCACCCCTTTTTAAGACTAGGTCCAGAGAGTGTGTTATAAAGTCGGCAGGGGAAAATCATGTGTGAACCAAAACTGACCGCATAAATTTTAAGTCTGCGGTAAAAACTGCTCACAATTAATGCTATGCTTGGAGTTATTGGTTTAATCCGGGGGTCGGCAACCCGTGGCTCCAGAGCTGCATGCAGCTCTTTAGCACCACTCTCGTGGCTCCCTGGAGCTTTTTCAAAAATGTTTGCAAATAGAAAAAGAGGGAAAAAAGGGAAATATATTTTTTTATTTCATATGGTTTCTGTAGGACAAACATGACACAAACATTCTTAACGTTTTCCAATTCTGTAAAAATGTGTCGAATAAATATTAAATTTCAAAATTTCTGTCAAAGAGGATTTGCGTCACAGCCTGCGACACACGTTTCTATCAGAAGCACGGGATGCCAGGCAGGTGGCTGTTGTTAAAAAAAAAAAAAAAAGGTGTTTCATGTCCAATTCACCAAGGGTACTGGCAAAGAATGGGGATTTGGAGGGCCAAGAGAAGCATTTTAAAACGGTCCACATGGGCTACGACAGTGAATACGCTGCAAAAGTGCGTCCCGTGCCTCGATCATCTTCGGGGCCGTTTTGGCTGTTGCTCATCATGGCATGCATGTGTATGGGCGTGTGTGCGGACAGGGGTCGCTTGCGGGAGGTTGGTTGATCGAAAAGTAGCTCTTCGGTCAAAAAAGGTCAGGCACCCCTGCACTGTAGGGAAACAAAACATTTAATCATGAGCCCATTGTGTATTTGTAGCCAATTTAGTCATTTTGACAGTCGGGTAATATAGCTAATATAGATAGATACAGCATGTGTCGCCTTCATTATTAGGCTTATATAAGGCTTTTAATTTTGCAGCTCCAGACATATTTGATTTTTGTTTTTTTTGGTCCAATATGGCTCTTTCAACATTTTAGGTTGCCGACCCCTGGTTTAATCTGTCGATCAATCCAAACCTCCTGACCATTGCTTCGCTTCCTGATAAATAACAGAGGCAGAAAAGTTGCCACTCCTACTTAGAGACTAAATAGTGTGTGTTTAAATAAAGTGCACAACTTGAGTGGTGACTGTTACGGGGTGAAAAGCTCATTCCTATCACCATGTGCCCACATGGCCAACTAGTAGGGTGTCCGAAATGGTCATTTTTTTCCAGTAGCCACATTTGGAGCCCTCCTGTAGCCCCCACCAAAAGACCTCAGTGCCTTGAAATTCTCTAAATACATTGTAGGTTCCCAAATATGATGATCAATCAGGTGAAACCCCACCAAGAGTAAACATTTCCAATATATGGAAGGCATTTGCATTGTGTCATTAAAAAAATAAAAATAAAGAAAAAAATCCACTTTTCAAGGGGTAAGACAGTGGCACCTCTACGTCCGAGATTAATTGGTTCTGGAAGAAATTTCTTAACTAGAAAACTTTGGAACTACAGACTGACGCCTTTTCCATGTAAATGCCCTAATCCATTCCAAGCCCCCCCACCTCAAAAAAAATTCAGACATAAATGTTTATGAAGCATAAAAATGCATCAAAATATGTAACAAATGCGTGTTTCAATTAGATTACTGCACATTAAATGAGAGTTGTGCATAATTAAAAAAAAAAAATGATGGTCATTTAACTTTTAACTGCGTCCTCATCGTGTTTTGCCCTCTTCATGCTCTCTCTCAGAAGTGTTTTTTGTCTGGCGTTTTGTAAAGAACTGATCCAAGGACGTTTGCTTTTGTCGGCTTTTAACAACCCTTCGAAAATGTCCAAGGCAAACATCAGCATTCTGAGCGATCGCCCGACTGGTGAACACTTTTTCTGGGTGGTTCACATTTACGTAAATCGGAACACCTCATGGCGCGAGGGGCGAACAACAAGGACGCCGCATAGACACATATCTATCTACACACATCGATATAAGAGGTCTTATTGGTCCCTCTTAGCCAATGGGATGCTAGGACGATGCTGGGAAATAGTCAATGGCAGAGCAACTACAAGTATGTTCCGTTCAGGAAACTCGGAGCTGCGAGTAGCAGCCCATACTGTATTTCTGCCTTTCGTAACCTGAAATTTCTTTCAAAACAAGAGGCAATTTTTTATGAAGAGACATTCGTAAGTAGAGGTACCACTGTATCTTTAAAATAGTATGTCTGTTGTATTTTTAAGTGCAGATTCTGACAGACAGTACGGGAATGCGTAGATCTAACAATTTACAGGTCTGTAGCCACCTTAAAACAAAAAATGAGGGCCTCCGAATGTGGTCCAAAATCTGGTGTCCAATTCCTGGATCCCAAAAATGGACATAGCACTCAAACTTTGATGGCCTGTAATTCAAAAACTGTTGTAGCTAGGAGTCTCAAAATTCAGATTCTTTCATTTAACATCAAAAGGCATTCATAGAAGAACCATCGGGCAAATTGAAAAGGTGTCACTCTCGAGAAAGTGCGTGACTTCACGTGGAATGACTGCGTCTGTGTTGACTTCACCCTTACATGGCTGTTTTTTGCTCTTCAGATTGTTACCAACGGTTGGAGTTCCTCGGCGATGCAATTCTTGACTACCTCATTACAAAGCACCTTTATGAAGACCCACGGCAGCACTCGCCTGGTGTATTGACTGATCTGCGCTCAGCACTTGTCAATAACACCATCTTTGCCTCTCTGGCTGTGAAGTATGACTACCACAAGTACTTCAAAGCTATCTCACCTGAACTTTTCCACGTTATTGATGACTTTGTGCAGTTTCAACTGGAAAAGAATGAGATGCAAGGCATGGACTCTGAGGTAAGTGCTGTTATGGAGTGTCAGAATCGTTTACAAAATATTACAGCACCGACGGGGTTTTGAGTGTCCCCAAATGAACGTGGAAGCTTTTCAATCATTGTGGGACCCTGAAGAGACCGTTGTTGCTATCATGGTTATAGAATAGCATTGACAAATTAATGTTGGGTTTTTTGATCGCTCTTTTCTTCGGTCACATTGTTGTTATTTTGTTCCCCCAAACCCATCACAGTTACGACGCTCTGAAGAAGATGAGGAGAAAGAGGAAGACATTGAAGTCCCCAAGGCTATGGGAGATATCTTTGAGTCTCTCGCCGGTGCCATTTACATGGACAGCGGGATGTCATTGGAGACGGTGTGGCAAGTGTATTATCCAATGATGAGGCCACTGATCGGTGAGGAAGAGTCATGAATTTGAACATTTTAGATATTGTTGTGGAAAAAAAGGGAAATTGGCTGATAAGAATCTATGTAGCAAATATGTACAGCGTAACCTCAGTTCACCAAATGTGTTGCTCATTAACAAATCAGTTGATACACTTTTCACACAAATGTTGCTTTGGTTCACAATCTATGCTTCAGTTGACGAACAGTCACAGCTTTCATTGAGAACGTTCAATTGTGGTTCATGGAGGGGCCGGTGCTTTTGAGGCCCCCTTTGTGAGTGACTGTGCTCCCCCTCAAATACCACTGCAGTGTAGCCATTTCATACCAAACATTATATATGATTTAAACAACCGTATTTTCCGGACGATACGTCACAACCGTTTTCCCACACTTTGAACCCTGTGGCTTTAAATGTGACACTCCTTATTTATTCATTTTTACTGACAAGCTTCAAACCGTCAATAGATTTACCCATAGTCTCGTCACGTGACCAATGAAATTCGGAACATGTCGCAGTGGACCGATGAAACTGTCCAAGTTCGCCCACCAGTGTTGGGAAAGTTCATTTTTCATGCAAAGTTCAGCTCACAAATTTTAAAATGAACTACTTCAGTTCATTGATTCCCCCACCCCCACTAGTTCACCATTCCAAAAATGTACTACTTCGAAGTTCGTTGTTTTCCCCGACAGTGTTTCTGCAACTGTTACCCTCTGGCATACTGGCATTTCCCCATTGTTTCCGCCCATTTCATCCACACCAGTATCCAGGTGGCGCTCTAACACTACAATCTCAAAAACACGAGGAAAACTTATTGTTTGAACTTTTTTTTTTCATGAATTATAAAAAACAGGACTGTTTTACTGCTGTGCAAGCACAAACATAATCTGCGATAGAAACCAGGATGAGGTAGGAAACTTAGGATATACCTGGATGGGACTGAATTTCTTGACTTTCAATGCCAAGAAAACAGAAGTGCGAGTGTTTGGTCCCACTTGTACATCTCATCCAAGGCCAAATTTAATGGTATACATGCATGTAGAAGTAACTGTTTGTAGTAATTATACTACAGTGAAACTCCTCTAGAACGAAACCTACATGGGCGAAAATACCCCCTAATGTGAAAAAATCTTCGTGCATTAACATCATTCCCATTCTACTGCCCCCCATACGACGAAAACCCCCCTGTTGCGTTATACGAAATCATTTTCTCTGCTCCAGCCTCACGAAGACATTCACTACAACGAAGTCTAATCCAACAGCGACCTCCACTGCTTCGTTCGAAAAAAGGCAAAAGCAACCACCACACTGGTTTACATAGTGAACGATGTTTATTTAGGTCACAGCTGCGAGTTTCCTGAACGCAACATACTCATAACTGCTCTGCCATTGGCTTACCGAGCATCATCCTGCCCTCCGATTGGCCAAGAGGGACCTCACTGTCTATGTGTGTAGATACTGAAGCTCGATCCATAGAAGATAGAGTGGAATGCATCCGATTAGCTGCTCAGAGTAAATTGCTTATGGCTCGATGGACATTCAAATAAACGAACGTTTCCTCGAATGCTTTACTTGTTATCATGCTAAAAACCTTACACTAACTGGAGCGTTAATGAGAGAGAAGCGCTCCAGTTAGCGTAAGGTTTTTAAGCCTTCGAGAGCTAACTATGGCCATTGAGGACTACGAATCGTCCTGTGGCTGGCTTAAAAGTTCATTGCATGACATCAGCTGAGCAACGCTGTCTTGGGTGGCGATCGAGGGGAGGTCGAGTTAGAGACAGTGAGATGGTGGAAAGAAAATCCACCGGGTCCAGGAAGTATTTGTTATTGTTAGATTCAGACGAGCATGGACGTTGCATTGCTAAAATGGCTACAAAAGCGCAAACAACGGCACTGAGTGCTAAGCTAGTCAGCCAATTACCTCTGACTTTAAGGCAGGGGTGCCCACTACGTCGATCAGAATTGACCGGGAGCCAGCGAACTGGTCCCAAGTCAACCGCAAGGGGTGGGAGGAGGAAATGCGTGGGGAAAAAAAAGATTTGTTTGTTTGTATCTTGAGCTTTCATTCATTTTTGGCCCGTTCCGACTGTTGCTCATCGTGGTGTGCGTGCATATGTGCACGAGTGCACTGGTGGGCACCTGCATGAGTGCGTGCGAGCGTGTGTGTGTGTGTGTGTGTGTGTGTGTGCGCGCGTATGCTTGCACGTGCGCGATTGGGTCGTTCGTGAGAAGTTGGTCGCTTCAAAAGTTGATCTTTGTCCAAAAAAGTTCCCTCGCTATTTTGCGGTTCATTTATCATGGCCTCGGTGCAACTCCGCGTATGGACCTGGCAAGCTGACTATAATTCCACTAGTTTTGCTGGATTTTTAGCAATCGTGAGGAACGGAAAACCATTTACATTAATGGTGAGTATTATCACAAAATTATTTAAAAGAATACATTCAGAGGCTTATTATACTGACATTTTGTTCAATTCAAATTTTAAGATTTGCTTTTGTGGCTCTCTTAGTCAAAAAGGTTCCTGACCCCTGCATTAGTGTATAAATAACAAAATACAGTAAACATAAACATGAAATATACATGTAGTACTGTTTATGTTGCTCTATGTGACTCTTTGTTTTGCTGACTTTCACTGCCTCTCTCGGACCTCATGCAGCATTGTCGCTATTTATTTTTATTTTTTTTAAATGAATATTTTTGAAAAATCCGCAATGCACTGAATCCGCAATAAGTGAATCGCGAAGTAGCAATGGATCACTGTATTTGTTTTCAATTCTTTAAATGGCCTCAATGAGGTCCTCCGCCCTTCTGCACCTGCCCAGTGCCTCAAGCCTGCCGACCAAACACTATTAGAGGTACCAAGAACTAAGCGGAGGTTCAGAGGGGATCAAGTCTTTTTCGTTGCTGGTCCCTCTCTTTGGAATGACCGCCTGCTGAACGTTAGGCAAGCCCCCTCGCTGCCCATCTTTAAAACTCGCCTTAAAACTCATTTTTATTCTTTGGCTTTTGACTCAACATGACTCAGACTTGATTTTTAGTTTTACTGTTTTTGTAATTTCTACTGTCTTTGTTATTATCATTTCATTGTTTGTTGTATCAATTATTTTTGTACCATGTACAGCACGTTGTATACAGCGGTGGTTGTTTTAAAGTGCTCTATAAATACCGGTACAGTTGAGTTGAGATACCTCAAAGTGCACTGTCCAACGTTCAATACATTTAGAGTAACGTTATATTTTCTTTAATTCACTTTTCATTCTTTTCATTTGTCGGAATGTATTATTTCCTGACGTTTTTCCCCAAAGACCAAGGCAGTAAGCCTTTAATTAATTTCATGAAAGCCGGGAATTCGACTTTACTCAAAGGCTGCAAATCATCTGGCTGTGGCTGGAAAATGAAGCCTCCATTGTCCCCCGTTAATGTTTTGGGATTGGGAGATGATCTGCTTTGACTCGCTACAGTTATTTCTTATTAGATGTCTTTTTTTTTTTTTTTTAAGTACATACCTCGAAAGGCTAGCAAGGTGCTTCAAATCATTGTACCAGTTCAGGTTGATGTAATTGAAGTATTATTTGCTTTTTTTTAATTTATTTATTTATTTTTTGTGCTTTTCAAAAAACAAGCATCGCATTTTGATTACACATGCACCGTGCGACTGTTGGTGGTCGGGGTTGCCAAATAATGTTTTGGGTTTTTTTATGCCTTATTAAGGCTTGTTGACAGTATGTTGAATGTCACTCTTGAATAAAAATGAACTACCATCCAAAAACCATTCATTGGCGCCAGAATGAGCTTGTTCATAAAAACATTCACAAAGTAAAATACACCACATTCAGTTCCCGTTGCCCACTTTTGTTCATTGAACTCGCTCAGGTACAACATGACCACCCTCATACTGAATATTAATCAGCCATATGCAAATTTGAGGCTGTGGAAATGCAAAAGTGTGTGTGTGGCTGTGTTGGAGCGCTTATAGAGAGAGAAGCATCTTGAGATGAGTTGACTGCTCAGTCAACTCATAGTGAACGAGAGTTCTATATACAGCCATCTCTGTAGTGCGCCCCCCGTCTCTGTTGTTTGTTTGACTACCAACTCCCACCATCGCTGGCAATGTACGACATCCCCCTGCATCTCCCAAACGCCTTTCTAAAGGCGACATTTATATTGCACTTGTGTGCATTGCTGCCTGATGTCAGTGAATTGGCCTCGTGTGAGAACAAGAAAGAGACCGAGAGGTTCGAGTACGCCACTCGCTACCTTTTGCATTGTTTGGCGGGGCGGGGGAGTTGAAGCTGAATAAAAGTTTTTAAAAATCCATCTGTGTGACATATTTCTCATTTTATAACGTGGAGACCCGTGACTATTAATACGAAGCAGCCACTCTATGTACAGATTTGTTTTGATGGCAAACTTTAGGTGCGTTTTGTAGTCCTGAAATTACGGTGAATTGTATCAATCAAAACAACATAAAAAGGGGGAAACAAGGTGCTGATTTGCTTATGGTCACATAATTTCCTGTCAAAGTACTCTATACACGCATCTAAAGGCCATGCCAAATCGTAAATGAGCTGACAGCTTTTAAACTCTAACCTTGGCCTAACATTTGGTGCTTTGAGGGCAAGATGTGATTTAAGTTTGAGAACTGAGGTTGCACTCCAATACCAAAAACTGAACCACTGGAATGTAGTGATTTAAAATTCATTTTTTCAGACTGTAAATGGAACATGTATTAATGACAATTATCTCACCCTGCAGAGAAATTTTCTGCAAATGTGCCCCGTTCTCCTGTAAGGGAGTTGCTTGAAATGGAACCAGAAACTGCCAAGTTCAGGTAAGGAAACATGTCTTTAAGGCTATTGTCTATACTCTATACCAGTGGTCCTGAACTAGAAATGCTGTAGGTCCACTTTTTTTTTTTTTTTAATAAGACCAAGGTCCGGTCCCATGCACGGCGGTCATGGGGAGCAGGGCTATATGCCCATTTAGTATGGTCAAGCCAAGCTTATACAAATCAACACTCCTCACAACCAACCAATAATGGGGTGCATGAAAATAACAATTATTCACTTTGCCAGTACACAGCAAATAATGAGAGGTATTGTGTTGAGGCACAGGAACTCTTTCATTTTGTTAAGTTGTGCCTGCTTAATAATAGAAATAGCCCTTTTAGGGAAATAAGACATTTTTACTTTGTTAAACAGTAGTTGTCTTGTTTTCCCTTAATTTAACAAAAACAAAACAAAATACTCATTTTACCAAAATAAATGTTAAACATGAAAACAAAAATATCCTTTTCATTTGTACAATTCCCCTTTTGACATCCCCTCTGAAATCACTGAAAAATATATTAGAAGAGGAGTTAAGAACCATTTTAAATACTGACACAATGGAGCACAGGAATGTACAGTGCTGTTCTTCCACTAAAGGTGAATGCAATGTCTGAGGCATGCAAATATTATTTGAGGACGCCATTGTGATGTTCATTTCCCATGTTGCGGTGTTCTGCTGTTAAACAGCTGCAAAGATCCCCGGGTAGACGGGAGCAAAACTGCACACAATTGAAACCTCCATCGATTCGTCTTGTCTAATTGTCTGTGTGCGGCTCTCCTAGACTGAAGCTGTGAGCACACTGTGGCG